ACACAATATATATATATATATATATATATATATATATATGTTGAAAAATATTTGAGAAGTAGAAAAAATAAATGATAAGGGCATGATAAAATTATTTCAATATAACTTAAAAAAAAAAATAAATAAATGAAAGTAACTAAACTAAATTTTCTTTTTTATTTTCAGTGTTTATAGAAAATAAAAACAAATTCCCTGATGCCATAAGAACAAAGGGACAGCATTTGAGTGGGCGTGAACCATAGGCGTGAACTGTTTGATTTAACCACGCCCATTTACGCTCTCGCTGGTTCGTGACGTCTAAAGCACGCTCTGTGTCTCCTGCCTGTGGAAGATGTTATGAAAACCGTGCAATCGCAAAGATGTAGTTTACAAAACGCCTGCTGTTTATTTCCCTATTTTCTGTTGCTGAAGGTTCGCAGGAGCAGCTGTAGTTGACGGTATGTTGATTTAATGCCAATGCATTTACAGTATACAGTGTTTTTCGCTGTCTTACATGAGTTGGATGTTGCCGCCTCCTCAGTATTGAACGAGGAGCCATAACTGACTATCAGTAAATAAGTAAATGTATTATATATTGTTTATTTTGTAGTTTTTATTTTTATTCTCAATTACTGTGTTTGCCTTTAGGCTTAGTTGTGTAAAGAATATATTGTATGTTCTTTATTATATAAAGTAAAATAGTTATATAGTTTAAAAGCTTACTCCTGCGTGTAACCATCTGCAATTAGTTTTAGTTTCTATAAAATAGAAGCGAGTGCATGATTATTTCTCTTTAATGATCTTAAGGTAAAGCTTCTGGCTTTAATCTGTTTTTATTTCCATCCCCAGGCCTCATGAGTGTGATTCAGCGTCTCTCCAGGCTCCTGTATGTCCTGTCCCTGGTCCTGGCCGCTTCTGGTTCTGGTCTTCATGGCCGTAATAACAGCGTGAGCCATGAGTACTGTGTGCTGGGAGCTGGACCTGCAGGGCTCCAGATGGGCTACTTTCTGTCCAGGAGCCAGAGAGATTACATCATTCTAGAGCGAAACACAGGACCAGGCAGCTTCTTCCATATGTACGTGACATCTGTATGAAAAAACACATTTTCTCAAACCGAGCTGGAATGATTTTACTAAAAATTAAAACTAAATAATTACAAAACTACTACAGTAAAAAGGGCTAAATTACAGAGCCCTGCAAACAAAAAATAATTTATATTGTGGCCACAAATTAAGAATTTGTTCCCAAGATTAATTTGTCCCTTCATTTTAGTTGAATTGTGGTCACAAGTTAAGGATCGGTTCCCTCGTTTTAGTAAATCATGACCACGTTGTACTAATTTGTTTCCTGGGTTAATTAAAGGGATAGTTCACCCAAAAATGAAAATTTGATGTTTATCTGCTTACCCCCAGGGCATCCAAGATGTAGGTGACTTTGTTTCTTAAGTAGAACACATATGATGATTTTTAACTTTAACCGTTGCAGTCTATCAGTCGTATAATGCATGGCAATGGTAACAAAATCTATGAGCAGGGCCGTTTCTAGGCATAGGCGAGCTAGGTGGTCGCGTGTGTGTTGATATCCAGCCGAAGAGCAATCAACCATAACTTCAGGCGAGCAGGCTCAGAAGTTGGGAATACGTGGAAAGTCACCCCTCCCAAATGAGTTCACGCGAGACAACGTAATCTTTTAGTTTTAAGTTGGTTTGAACAATCCGGATAAGTGCAAGTAAGTACCATTTTGATTAGCCGTCATACCTACAATGACTGTGCACTGTGTAAATCATGAGTAACGTATACGCGCGAGAGATCACTTCCGGCGCTTGCGTTATCTACGCCAGAGCGCGTACACACCTCACGCACCGGATGCCGTGCACGCACCCAAAGACAGTTGGACATAGTGGTGTATTAGAGGTCAAAAATTATATAAATACTGTTCGGTTTCTCGCACAAACCGATAGTTTCGTGTCTTAGGACATCAATGTGTCGTCACGAGCCGTAGGGTTTAATTTGGATTTGTCTGTGCATGTTTTTTTTACTCTCATAGATTTTGTTACCATTGCCATGCATTATAAGACTGATAGACTGCAACGGTTGGACTTAAAAATCATCATATGTGTTCTACTGAAGAAACAAAGTCACCTACATCTTGGATGCCCTGGGGGTAAGCAGATAAACATCAAATTTTCATTTTTGGGTGAACTATCCCTTTAAACCAAAACAAGGGAACTAGTTAGTACAACGTGGCCACAATTTACTATAATAAGGAAACTAATTAGTAAGTTGTGGGAACAAATTCTTAATTCGTGGCCATGTCATGTGAAAAGCCTTCATATTAAATAATAATAATAGAACATATATACTTTTGTGGCATTTTTTCTTACATTTTTATTAATATTTAAAGATAACAAGAAATCACTGTGTCATTATTGCATATCAATCCAAAGGAAAA